TTCTAATTCTCCAGAATGACTAAATACTTTCAAAACGGATGAAATTCCCATCAGCCTTGTTAGCAAATGTTAGCATGTTAACACACCGAACTAAGGTGGCTAAGAAACCTGCTAAACATCAGAGAGCTAGCATTGTTAGCATGCTGAAGTTAGCAAGCACGGCTAGTCTTTTCTCAATATATCCTTATTATTATTGTGTACCAATTCACAACAATAATGTATTTCATTCCCAATAATCTCAAACATATCTTGTTTAAAATTCAAATAACAAATAATCAAATTCCGTCGTTGGTAGTTGTATTTACTTAACAGAATACGACCTGCAAACGTTCTCCCAGTTAGTTGAAAGAGAAACTATAGTGAGACTGAAATAGAAGCAGTTGACCTTCCATTCTGTACTTGATATGACAGCTGAGGAGGAAACAGGGGGAGAGGAGATCTATTAATAAGATTTATACTTGTGGAATTACATTATAATCATACCTTCGGTTGGAGTGATCTGTTAGCAAAGAGCGTATGTGTGCGTGAGTGTGTGTGTGTGTGTGTGTGTGTGTGTGTGTGTGGTGCATATGGTAAAACACTCTGCAGACCTGCTGTTAGTCACACTTCCGCGTCTCAAATTGAATTAGCGTTGACAGCGCACAGCGCCAGCCGCGTGTTTCTGTGTGTGTACTGAGGGCGCTGGCTGTTGGCACATTCTGTGTGTGTGTGTGTGTGTGTGCATGTGTGTGTGCATGAAACAGAAGAGAAAGAGGGCCCTCCCCCTGAAATCAATTAAGTGACTATCGGCCTGTAGTTGCGGGGGTGAGGTGGGGGGCACATCCTGTAGAGGGCAGCGCAGACAGACAGCACCATCTGGGGCAGCGGGCGGGTCGACCCCGGGTTGAGACATGAAAGAAGCGGGGCAGGGATAAGGGGAGAGGAGCGTACAGGCCGCCGCTAAATCACTCTTTTTCCCTCCAGCCCCCTACCCTCACCCCCGCCCCTCACCTGTCATGCGATACATCAGCCACGGAGCATCATTTTCCCCCAATCACTCTCCATCCTCTTTTGACTTATTCTCCCCCGTCGCTCTCTCTCTCTCTTTCTCGGTCCCAGGAGTGCTAACCTGTCATATACAGGAAGTAAAAAGTGGAAGGAACAATCCATCCCTCTGTGAAGAGAAAAAGAATATCTCACATCTCTTGTTCCAAAAGGGTTGATTTATAGCTCCATATTTAATAAAAACCAATACCAGAAAGTGCCCCTCTCTCTCTCTCTCTCTCTCTCTCTCTCTCTCTCTCTCTCTCTCTCTCTCTCTCACATAGACAAACACACACGCACCTGTAGAAACCCCCTCTGGTCCATCGGACTGGAAGGAATTAGGACACAGGTCATGTGTTACAGGGGGAGGGATAGGCCGTGTGTGACGGACAGCTCGGGTCAGAGTGTACGTTGTGTTTGTTGGTCATAAGCTGAGTGCTGACAGCCCTCTTCCAGTCACCCAGTGCTCAAATACACGAACACGCAACACACGGCTCAATTGATGACAAAATAATTGTCCGAACAAGACTAAAACTTCTGGTATTAAGAGGCCTTGGTGGGACCTTATCCATCATGTGAATATTTATGCAGCACTAAATGCTCACTTTAGTATGTTTAGGAGCAATTCCACAATGTAAAATACTGCATTTCAGTGTCTCAGTATCCTCCAAAAAAATGTACCAAATAAAAATCTAAATAAAAACGGCCTGTCGTTGTTATGTGTTATTACTAAGGAAGTTTTGCCACCATAGCATTATCTAGAAAGAAAGAATATAGAATATATATATATATATATATATATATATATATATATATATATATATATATATATATATATATATATATATATACACAAAGAAACCCCCACCATTGCAACTGTCTTTAGTCGTTTTATTTACAATATAACTAATTAATTTGGGGATTTTTAACAAAAAACAATCTTAACTATATGTACTTTTTAACTTTGGATTACTGAATAGGTTTTGAAATTCCTCACAGAAAATACTCATCTTCCACGATTCCAGTTCGTTATAGCTATTATATTAATACATTATTGCATCAGATTCAGTGTATCAATGTTCCGAAAGAAACTGGTGAAAAGTCCAATGTACTGTAGTAGCACAGAAAAACCTTTAAACTGTTCTTAAGTGCATCAAAGAATGGCAGCGCTGTTAATCACACACATCTGAATTGAGTGAGGTAGGGAAGGTGAAATTAGAGAGGTGTGAAAATAGAGAGGTGAGGCCAGAGAGTGCAAGAGCTGTTTGGGTCATTAACACGTTCTCTGAAGAATGGAGCTGAGTTTGAGGTCCAGATGAAACACACACACACACAAACCCTCACAAACCCTCAGAAACCCGCGGGCCAGGTGCCAGACCACATGTTATACCAGTTTGTCCTCCACTCATCTAACCTCTGCTCCGTGACAGGGGCCTGTCAGGGAGCACATGCCTATGCGTCGCCCCACTGACCCCTGTCTTCACACACTCGTGGGCATACTGCATGCTGTATATGGATACACACTCTCTCACACACACACACCCACACACACACACACACATACACACATCCAAAAAAGAAGCGCCATGCATTCAGCGAGCTCCTGGTTTTGATCCTGTATCCCGTGATCCAATGCTGGGAGACTTCGAATCACGAGAATAAGGTATATAAAACGGATGTTAACAACACAGGATGTCTCTGAAAAAAAGGCAATTAGTGGCAAACAAGAGGGGAGGAGAGGACAGTTTGACTGAGCGGCTCATGCCAGCTTGATAGCGCCACTGAAGAGCGCTTAATCACTGTTAAACTGCCCTCGCTTTTCACATTACTCAATCTGTGTAATTCAATTTCAGCCACAGCTGGTTTCACTTTCAACTTTACAGCTAAGCTCAAGTCACGTCCTATAATCTGACCTGATAAATAACCAGCTTTTATTGAGTTTACAGAGAAAACAGTATAAGCCTTTGCGAGAACCTCGCTTTGCCTAATGTGAGCGGGGCCGCAGGGTATGAAGCTGAACGGGCCAACCAACTGTGTGTGTGTGTGTGTGTGTGTGTGTGCTTGTGAGTCAGTGCATGCCAACTATTAATATTAGAAAACCGACGTGTGTGTGTGTGTGTGTGTAGTTGTATGATAATCTAATGAAGGCAGAGTAAATTTACACGTCCTGACTCTCTGCCAAGCTTCTCTCCCGCTTCAGAACGCCATTTCCCATGATTGGAAACAAATGACTCCAGTGTCTCTGCCTTGACTGCTTGTCAATCATTACGAAACGCTTCAGAAACGTCCCTCTGTGTGTTATTACAAAGTCGAATCGGCACAGTGTCCATGTTTTTTTCTGCGGCAGCCTTCAAGAGGATTGTGCTGAGAAATTATCAGGCAGATTGTGGCTGTACGAGCGGCCTGGTTAATCATCGACAGGCTGATTACCGGTTAACTCAACAGCGGTTTTCAACCAGCGTTTAGGTCGGATACGGTTTCAAAGAGGAAGTTTGTTAAGAACAGAGTATCAAATATATATATATGATCATAAAATCATTTAATTTATATAAAACTCATTTAAAATAATCATTAAATATAGAGCTACAGGCTTGAGCTGGTTAGCTTAGCATTAGAAAGTTGGAAAAAGTAGGAAACACTTTAACTGACTCCATCCAACAAAATGTTAAACCTGGGTCAGTTTTCCCATCCAAAGTCTTTATGCTGAGCCGAGCTAATGGGTTGTAGCCCCGTGTTAAAGTGTAAATACAGTGTAAATCTTCTTGTCTAGCTCTCAACACAGCTAGTTGTAAATTGAGTGAACCAAGCCCATTTGCACTGTTAGTAAATGCATTGCGGAGTTGTATGCACACTCTGGTAATGACAGGTGTGTTTCTGCAATTACTCTACAGGAGGGGGCAGGTGCAGAGGTCAGGACCCCTGCGCCCCCTCCCGTATGAAACCAATTAGTTCAATTGAGAGATCAAGAATCTGCTGGGAGTTTTAAATGATTGTCCCGCAAAGCCCAACATGGAAATGACAGACACTATCAAATAACCACCACAGATTATGTGCGTCTGCAGACAAAGGGCCGGCTGTCTGATAGCGCCGCACCTGACCGCTCGCCGAAACACGGGGCCGCCCCCACCCCCCCCGCCTCGAGTTCCTCAATTAACTCCTTCCTGCTATTTCCACGTCCAGCTCAGCATCAGCTTGCTGCCACGCTCGGCCGTGACAAGTAAATTACTGTTTGGTTACGACCGTTTGTCGGGAAACAGGCCATTTCCCCCGCTTTGCCTAAACCGCCGATCCTCGCTGTGCGGAGAGGGAGGCGAGGGAGGCTTGCAGGGTTTTGAGTCTGAGCTGAAGGCAGGAATTATCACATCAGCGGCCGAACGGGCGTGCCCCCTTTGGTGTGGACCAAGAAACACAGCATTATGTTGGACCACAGTGGCTTTTCATTCTCTTCTCCTCACGGCACACTACTTCTCTGAAAGAATTCCACATGTCTTCACACAGCAGTGTTGAGTTACTGTTGATCCTGGAACAATGTTCCAACCAGGTTTACAATAATGAAGACCCGGCTGCGAGGAGCCTTTGCTCGGCCCGATAAAGGCACCTCCATACGTCTCTAATTAACGCCTTTATTGGTAATGAAGTGCAGCAGTGGAAAATGCCGGCTGAAACCTGGCAGTTGATGTTCTTCCTCCTATAAATGATAGAGAGACCTGGTGAGCTCATCTTATTAGTCAGGCGTGGCCAGGCATGACACTGGCATACAGCTGTTTACAGCTCAAAAAAACACACAAAACCAGCTCTGTTTTGGACGTCTGTTCTGTTGCTGGATCACTGGGACTTTTTACCTCACTTCTTATTCAAAATATTTATTTTTCCTATTACACAGATGCATGTGTTTTTGAGTGAGATGTTTATGTGACCGCAACTTTTTTTCATTCATTTACTGTTTGTACCCGTACAAAGAACATTTTGGAATGTGATCGAACAAAAAAATATGACTTTAATAGGCACTTATTGACAGTTCAACAATAATTTGTTAGAATCTATATTACATACCTCAGGTCGTATAGCTGATGATCTTTGGCAACACCATGACAGCATTGGAAGTAGTGTATGGCGGGGAAAGATGGTGCTGTCTGTCCCAAGTAAATCTCTGCATCCTATCTACATTTCAGTTTAATTCGATGTTGGGCATTTTGGCTCTCGTTGAGTGTCTGCAGCTCATGATCTGCTTCTCAATCAGTTTTTTTTGTGCCGACAGATCCAACACAGCCTACAGACCAAATACAAAAACGTCCCCACCGCCACAGTTCAGCGCTCCTGTGGGTCTTGCTCCCAGAAGGAATTGGCCCTTTTGTTGCAATAAGCTTTTGGCTTGATACACCCAATGGGCCGGAGCACGAAAAGTGCGGTCCAGCTGTCAGAGGCGGTGGTTGGTGGTCGGTTGCCACGGAGACTGGCGCAGCAGACAGTCTGTGGTGTTTTCGGCTAGTTTGGCGTGCCGGGAAATGGCTGCGAGTTGGGGGTTCAGGGGGAAGCTGTAGCGGTAAAGACAGTACGGGCCCGCGGCGTCAGAGAGATGAGGGAGCAGAGGCCCCTGAGGGCTGATGGGGCTGTGGAGGGGGAAGAGGCAGGGGGAGCCTCCCGGAGACTCGAGAAGACAGTGGGGGGGTTTCTTCGGCTGCAGCGCCGAGAAGAGCGAGAGGTCTGTTAGCGGAGACAGTGGGGGCAGGCCTCTCAGCCTGTCTGCTCCCAGGGAGGAAAAGACCCTGCCGGGCAACGGGGAGGCCGGCGAGGAGCCGGGAGTCCTGCCGTGGAGAGGAAGAGCGAAGGCGTGGAGGGCGGCGTCCTGGCAGGAGAGCGCCGAGACGGAGAACGGGTGAAGGGATGAGGAGGAGGAGAGGGGGAGAAGAGTCTTCCCGCTGCTGGTCGGCGACCCCGAGCTCCCTGGCAAATAAAAACAAAGAAAACAGACGTCAGAAATTCGAAAGGTGAAAAATTGCAGAAAGGTAACAAGAGCTGCACCATATTTACCTTGGAGCTGTATGGCGAACGGCTTGAAGTCAAAGCTGAGAGGGCCCCTCCAGGGATACGACTCCAACAAGCCATCCAACACTCCCCTACACACACACACACACACAAACACACACATGCATAATGTGTAAAAGCACAAAAAAATGCTGTTTCGGGAATTTAAATATTGGAGGTGTGAAATTCTGCCATGCACATTTCAACTTCATGTGAAGGTTTTATGTGGTGTCAAATGTCAGTGGCCTAGCCATAAAACCCTGTAGGTGAGCACTTCCTGAGCTAAAACAAGTGTTTGGTGGAGGTTTACTGTACCGATTCCGTCCCGGATCTCTGAAGCCCTTGGCGAACGGGTTCCTGTCAATCTTGAGTTTTGTGATCTGGCCCCAAGAAAGAGAAGCGGACACGGGTCAGAGTGGACGCGCCAGACCGCTGACGTGTTAAAGCTAACAATGATCCCGCTTCCACAGCAGCGTGCAGAGTGGCAGAGCCCTCTCCCTCGGGGATTGCATCTCCCTGCAGCGCCAGCTCATTGCCATGTCAAACAGGGTTTCCTGGAGGCCGCATGGTTTTATTTGGTGCTTAAACGGACTGCGTGGACTCCAGCGGTTGACCCAGTTGCAGCTCGTTATTGGGTTTCTGTAATAATACGTTCGCTGGTCGTAAAAAGGAGCCCCGATGAAGAGGGCTGGCGTTCCCCCTGGACGCCTCTGTTACCGGAGGAGCCATAGCAAACAGCAGAATCTGCCCCCCCCCCCTCCCCTCCCCCCAGACATACAAGTACGCACACACACACACGGTCCGGGCAACTGAAAACCATGGACACTGCAGTCTCAGTTTTGCTGAGAACACATGAGAGTTGGCAACATCACCTCGATGCCGTTAAGAACGTTCTTTGAGCGGTCAATTGGATCTCTGAGGAATATTACAGGCACGTCTGCTTTCTTATTATTTCTGGCACATACAGGAAGTAAATATACAAAATCACATATTTATTTAAGTTTAAAGCAGCAGATGAGGTAACATTTTGAATGTATTGTATTACTGTTTCCACAGTTAAATCCAGAGTTTTCCATCAGTATTTGAGAGACGGTGTCAGCGAGGGTTACCTGTTGGTTCTGATAAGCGGTGACTGTGGTGAACTCCGTTTCTGGGAAGGAGAAGCTGTGGACTCCGTCAGTCGGCAGCGACCGGATCTGTGACACGTCCATGCGAGGGTCGTGCCGGATGACGTGCACACGTGGCTTGTATTTATGCATCGACTGGAGAATAATCTGGACGGAAAGATGAGGAAGATCCTTGTTACTTCACCGCAAACAGCTCGTACTGCTGCCACAGCTTTAGGTCATTGTCAATTAATCTCCAGGTAACTTTTTCAACTGATTAATCGCTTGGGACCAGATTTCAGAAAACAATAATAATAATAAATACATAAATAATAATTAATAAAAATAATAATTTAATTAAAGTTTTATGCTGTGTGCAAATGGAAACATAGTAACAAACAAAATAAACTACTGTATGTGGGATATGTGTGAAATGATTGAACAAAATATAATTTAACGTGACCAGCATTATAATCTTTGATGCAATGCTATATGAAAGTAGCTGTTGCGTAAATTAAAACTAAGAAAAGAAAAAATAATCTGCTATTTAATAGAAAACCAAAAAATCGTCAAATATAATTTAAACAGTGCGACAATAAAAACAACAAACAAATATGAATCAACTACCGACCCAATGTTAATTTTACATTGCAACAAATAAGTACAATATTAATTTCCCAAAATAAGATTTTGGCACTTTTAAAGCTATAACCTGTTAAAGTAAGGGATTGATGAAATAACTTTGACGAGAAAAGCTAAATTCTTTCTAAACATTTTAAAAAGGAGAAACACAATCAACAATTCTTTTTTTGTTTTAGTTAGTTAGTTTTTTTTAAATTAGCAAAACAGTTCCAGATGGTAAACTAACCACAACGACATCGGGGCTTTCTGCACTTTTACATTCCTCCATCCATTACCAGAATAAACACACCAACTCCAGCGTGGTTTGTCAAGTGAAAAGCCACCTACAGCCTCCCTAGTTACCACATCTGTCACAGACGCACATCCCCTTCCTTCTTCCCTAACAGACACAGGCCTTCAGGATTTCCACTCTGAGGAGCATTACAGCAGACAAAGTGTGCACACTTTGTCTGCTGTTGACCCCCCTGCACCTTTACTGTGTAAGCAAATTAAGTATAGGAAACAACATTTAAAAACAATTTGAGGATTAGAAAAAAAATCTATTATAGGAAATGGATGGACAGAGACAGAGTTAAGAAAAGGCCGCGCATGCTCAGATGGGTTACCTACATGCCCCTTGTCGTCCATCTCGTTGTTGGTGAGTTTGACCCGATCGAAGCTGATGACCTGACGCATCCACGTCTCTCCCGCGCACGGCGAGTCCGGGTGCACGTAGAGCCTGGGAGAGATGCACGAGTGGTCCGTGTTTCCCGCCACCATCCACTGAGAGCTGTGGTACACGTACCTGCCGGCCGCAGAGGTTAATACACCGCAACGGGAGTTTAGTTAATGGGACGCTGTCGCACACGTACACACCTGTAGCGCTTCGAGTCCACGGGCATGACGTCCATTGCGACGTAGTACTGCTGGCACGGGTCCAGGTTGCGCACTTTGACGCGCACGGAGGGAAACATCCTCCTGGATGAGGAGAGAAGCGCAGAACGTTCATCGGATATCTTCAGCGTGTTTTATTCTTTTAAAACCTTCCCTCAAACGTCTAGTTACTTCAATACATTATAAAGAGTTCAGAGGGATGTTCTGTCCTCGAGGGCCCTGCAGGGCGTCAAACTGAAGCTAGATTCCAACAGGTAGTTGGGGATTCATTTCTAAAATTAAAACAAACAGAAGCAGACGTGCTGTGCACCACAACTGAATGTGGAAACCAAATGATAAAGTTATTGTGATCGAGCCCGAGAACATCAACGTGCCACAAGATTATATGTCATCAGCAAAGTGTTGATTATTGGTTTTGTTCGGTTCTGTATCAGATAAAAAACAAATAGACGTTGACAGTATTTCTAAATAATAATCACGGGCCGTAGTACATGCTTATGAACTAACAAGGCCTGATGTGAGGCTTATATTTTAATAAACTGCATAATTATATAATTAGGATCGTCTGCAGCGCGCGCTTGTAGCCATTTTACAGCGGATAAACGCACCGGTGACCACAAGTTCATGACAACATCATGAATCGTTGGAGATGAACACAGCTTTTATTTCAGGGGGGTACAAATGGGTCTTATCTGTTTGAGAAAGAAATGGGCCTCCCCTTATTCCATGGGATTCAATACTTTTGTGATTTATGTTTGTTTTCGTCATACTGAAATAAAGCATCTTAATTCACTCCGATTAAACTCTCATATGGCCTATTGGCGGCTGTTTCTACAAACAGGGTATTAGGAACTGTTATAATTATATTATGAAAATACTAAGATGTGGTTGCGTTTGTTTTAGGCCAAATAAGTTAGGAGGTTTTGCCGGATAGTAACACACATAAAGCCGTATAGGGCCCCGTTTACAGCAGCGTTACGCCTGTCAATAACCGCCAGAGCTCACTGTAAAAACCCGTCTCTCGCACCCAAAGCATTTACCTGCCAGCTTTGGTGATGATCATCTCGGTGCCGATCTCGTAGAATCTCTTCCACAGATCGCAGCCCTGCAGCTCCGCCCGGACCTCTCTGTCCGGGCGGGGGTCGCTCTCCTTCGGGTGGCTCTCCTCTCCGCCGGGGTCCGCCTCTCCAGCACCCGGACTCACGGTCTGTCCCTGCGGGTCACCGGGCGAGTCCCCTGCCCGCGTCGTGTTCTTCATCCGGCTGACTGGATGTTCGTTCAGGCCTATAAGCAGAGGTGGGATCAGTGGGGTGCTGAGTGAAGAAGCCCGGTACTGTTAGCGTTCCCAAAAGCATGTAAGGGCCAACAAGTGAGCCGCAACTTACAGCCTGTGAGTTGCTGCAAGTGTCTTGTAAAAAGATAAAAGAAAACAGAAAGTTGCTCCAGTTTGACAACTGACACATGAATATTTCCCAAACCCGAGTTTCTCTTTGAAAAGTATTTAAATGGGAACATTTTTCATTTTAAGACGATACAATTACGTAAATCAAATTCAATTGTGAAATTGTTAAACGTAGAAAAGGGTCGTTAAGACTGGCGGAGCCAACACACTAAAAGGCAGCAACGCGGGGCTGCATTGCTCCATCTCGTGCGTAAAATGCGTGTACATTAACAAGGTCATGAAGTAATCACCCAGCTGTCCATTTGCCTCCTCACCGGTCAAGATGCTCGTATCGCTGCCGGTGTCTCCAGCTGAACTTGACTCGTGTTCCTCCGTCAGTTTCATCCTCTTGCAGGGTTTCCCGACCAGCGCCTCCACCGAAAAGGCGTGAGCCCGGGAACTCAGACCCTGCATCGTGGCGCCGGATCCCGTCTGTCTGCGAATCGTATATCCGCCTGAACTTTGACTTTGTCCCGCACTGTTGTCGGTTTCCCGGCACATCCAGAACAGGACAGCGTGGAAAAGGCAGCAGCGGCACTGCAGGGAGCCCCTCTTCTCTCACGGCGGCTCTGTGACGAGGCGTAATTGATCAAGTGCCTTACCGTGTTCTCCGAGACGCGCACCCTGATCCGAAATGCTTGATTATTGGCACGCCTCTCCCCCTCACAACAATAGTTTCCCCTCTCCCACTTTATCCGTGTCTCCCCTTTAATTTCTCCCTGCCCCATAGAGGGCTTGTTCATCTCGTTCCTTTCTGCGCGTCACGGAGATGGGAGGGAAGAGAGCAGCGTGCATTCCTCCGCATGAGCATGCGCTGCAAAACTTGGAACGCCAATCTCAGCTTTACGTTTAGTTTACGAACGCAAATAATAAATAAAGGTCGCTGCTAAAGTTAAATTAAAACAGATCTCTTTAACAATCCAATTTCGTTCAATGAAAGAGGAGGATGCAAATGATCAACAGGTGTAACAACATTCGGTTCAGTTCTGTAATTTAGTTTGTTTGCAAGTAAATTAGTTAAATTGTGCAACCAACTACCATCTTCCCTATAGTAGAAAAAAAAACGACTGAGAAAATATGTTTTTTGTGCCCGTATCTGCAACATCCAGCGTCTTTACGCACGGTGCAAACGGTTGAACGGCCAAACTTCAACATGGTTTGTGGCATTTTGTGATATAAACCAGATAATTTCCTTCAAAAAAAGGAAATGTGAGTTGCAGGACAAAAATAAAAACAATAATATTAAAGAAAGAAAAACATAAAATGGATAAAGGCAGGATGTAAATCTCTAAATCTCTTTAACAGTTAGCCACCTCATTGATTGACCTGTCCACGTTGCTTCACTCCATTTAGACATCCGATAGATGAATAGAATGAGCACTTTGGAGCTGGAGGGTATGTGCACAAATATTTGAAGCTTTTAATTCAGACCATCTGGGAGGTAAAATATATCCTTGAAACTCCGCCGCATTTCTGTTGAAGCTAACATTTCCTATATTAATCTGACGGCTTTCCTTAAAACAGTCTCTTGTCTCCCGTTCCTCCTGTATAGAAGTGGGATTTGCTTTCCCCTCCTTGACTTACACCGGTACCCGGTGAGGGTGTGCGCCAGTCTGGTTCTCATAAATGCGGAGATCAGATGGAGTTCGGCGGGCAGGGGGAGACTGGGCCGTAATGACAGCTCGGGATTATTACATTACTCCTCGACATGAAATAGATCCGCTTTACACAAATAAAAGTCAGCGAGGGCCCTATTTAAAATGTTTTTTAATCACATGATATAATTGCTGTGAGGAGAAAACAAATGAGGGCTGTGTTTACGGCACGGTTGGTTTAGTTGGTGATGGAAATCTCATACAACAGCGGGGAAATGGAGAACTATGACCAACCGGAATCGCATGCTCTCTGTCATCATAACCTGTTTGAGGACTGCGGCCGGCAGGATTTATGTTTACTCTATTCGCTTTCTCTCAATACTGTCGCTATAAAGCGCGGTCAGGAGGAGAGACTGCCTCAGAAATAAATCTGTGCGCGCGGGGCCCGTCGCCTGTTTTCGGGGAAACAAAAGACGCAAGGTTCCGGTAGGAATAGCCCGCGTCGTTTCCTTCCACTTAAAATTATTTTCTCCCTTTGTCGTATTCACGAGTCGGCTCGTAAATCTTCGTCATGGGATTATGGGATGTCAGCGGCGTGGTGGCGGGCGCGCAGGCGAGCGTTGTTGAGCACAACAGGAAGCTGCTTCCAGTTGTTTTCGTGATTTGTAATCCAGTGCAAATCTGCGCGCGTCCCATTCGGGGATGTTTGGCACACGTGTTTCCTCTTATTAGGCACAATAAGCACGCTCGGCGGAAAAGGAGAGAGAGACTCAAATCCAATTTAGCACGGGACTCGGGTTTCCATCCGTGCGGAAGTTTGATGCCCGTCCGCAATTAGGCCTTCCGACCATTTTGCGCCTGGAGGCCCGTCCAGCATGCTGTTGATTTGCGTGTCCACCGCTGCCAAATTAATAATCCTTGGTGAATAATTGGTTTGCAATCGGGAACTTACTGGTGGGCCTTTTGAAGTGCAACACTCTTGAAGTTAACTTATAACATTTTTTCTTTGTGTCTTAAAATAAATTCAGCTACACTCAATACAAATGTTTTGTTTATGACTCAATGACTGACACTTGTGTCTGTCTGGCTATGGTGTGTGTGTGTGTGTGTGTGTGTGTGTGTGTGTCTGGGGGCCCAAAGAGTAATCACGACCAGCCGCACACTCACGGTAGGCCTCTGTCTGTACTGTATGTGCACATGCTCACGGATGAATGCATGTGTGTGTTTATAAACAGGCCTGTCTGTCTGTTGCTCCGTGCTGAGTCGATGTGACGGCGCCCGATGGTTTGTTTTAAGTTGGATCACCATGCTGAGCAGTTTGCATGCGTGGCGCTGGAGCGGATGCCCACTCACTGCCAAACGTCAAACTTCGCCCGCCACGTCCGCCGTGACACGCGTAGAGTGTTTGAGTACAGAACGCTGTAAACACTTAGCGTACTGTGGCGCTGATGGGATGCGAGTTCTCTGGAGCGGACGTAAGGCGAGGCTGACCTGGGAAACGCACTCTGGGGACACAACAATGTGCAGATTATTTCCAAAGCTGGTTACATAGATGTAATTTTAGATTTCAAGCGACTGCGTGTTATTTACTGCTGTCGGTACCGACTGCGTGTACTTGGAATAGGCCGAGCGCCCTGAGACGATGAGGACGATGGGAGCAGGCAGCCAGTTGAAGCTTTTTACAACATGACTGATTACAGTGACAAATTCCTACGACCGTGACATGTCATCAGCTCCACCGTGTTTGTGTGTGTGTGTGGCGTCACATCTGCTACTCATAACCTCCCTGTCTGTGTCTCGAGGGGTACGGCTGTCCGGATCCCGTCTCTTCGTGGTGAGACTGATCACATCCTCCGCAGCATCAACATTCCCTCTTCCAAATTTATGTGCTACCTGATTTGGCCGCTGATGATAAAGAGGAGAAAGGAGGAAAAAAGGAGGCAAGAGTTTGAGTTGTATACAACACAATAAAATTCACGAAAATATCTCTACATCTTTACAGCTTCTGTAAAATCTGCCTCATCACCGCTCTCCTCTCTCAAGAAATCAATCCAACTACTTTAAGGAAATCTTTCATTCATTCTAGTTCAGTTCAAAGTGCTTTACAACAAGAAAAGACTGATGAGCACAAAGAAGCAGTAGAGCCAATGTAACTTAAACTTCAAATAAATAAAGATAAAAGTACAACATAATGAAAATACCGAAATATTTTTTTTAAATTATACGCTACAACTCCCTTGTAGTCCAAAAACTCAGTCACTCGGTTGCAGACGCACAAAGCAACATGGTTTGGAAACAGTTGACCACAGGTACTTTTGCCTAAATGAAAAAACATCCCCAAAAATAAACCAAATGCACATTCAATGTATCCAGGATTTTCAGAAACGTATTATGCCCCAATTGTTGCCTCAGACGTTCCCTGACTGTAGATGTGACACAGGAGTAGACGTGCGGGTCTGAAAGTGAAGCCAGTGTGCAGGCTTTCAATGGGAATCTTTTCAAGGGCCACCAGAGGTACATTCGCTTGTTCTTAACGCAACGTGTCTGTTCTGGTTGACAAGAAAAAAAGGCAGTGACAGGTGACGTCACACGGTCCATGACATTAATGCACCAAACCCTTCGGGGAAAATTGTCTCCAACATTCATTTTTGCCCAAGGTTTGCTTTAGAAAGAGCAAAACCCCTTCCTTGTTCTTTTCAGTCAATTCCAAACTTTAGGAGCGCAACGACAGCCAAGTCCTAGAGAAGTAACCGGCAGCGTTGGAGGAGCCAGAGCACGAGGCCGCCGCCGCCTTCTCTCTGCCCGCAGTGTCGGAAGATTTAATGGCTCATGTGCCACGGCCTCCAGCCTTCACTGGCTCCTCCTGCCTCCGCCTGGCCCCAGCGGGTAACCAGGGATGAGGGCAAGGGGGAGGAAAAGTAGAGACAGGAGAGGAAAGTAACATCTCAGCCAAGCCTCCTCCTCTCACCACAAGTGTGTTGTGAATTACCCCCCCACCCCACTCCCCTTCCCTCTGTTTTCCTCTCTTCCTAAGCCTTTAGTTATCCCTTGCTACTCACCCTCTTCCTATTAAACGCATATAGATCTTCATCTGTCCACATTGCTTTCATGAGGCCCGCTGTGAATCCGCCTTTACAGCACATTCATCTCACTTGTTTGGGATAGCTAATTCTTTTTGATGAAAACGGCCTTTTCTCTCCCACCCCTTTCTCTCCCCCCTCTCTTCCCCCCCCTCTCTCTCTCTCTCTCTTTCTCTCTCTCTCTCACCCTTTCCCTGACTGCCAGTTACTATGAGGTTAATGGTTGTGGTGAAAAGAAACAAAAACAGCAGTAATTGATAATGAGAATCAGACTCATGAGGATTTCAGTCGACGCCTACTCTCCTCAAAGTCTTGCCAAGCAAGGGGTGGAAAACTAATCCGAATGGTGCTGGGAGAGTTATTCCTAATACTCTGATGTGTAACTGGCACATTATATTGGACTGTTTGGATGAAAATAATGCGAACAAAGGTGAACATTGCCAACACTATAGCGTAACATTTTTGTCAGGCTCATGGTGGACTCAAGCAAGACTTTCAAATGTGTTGAGGTCCACCATGGGTGATAACATGCACGGTGAAGGGAAGTAGTAATTGTTTTGGGGGAAACCATCGTTTTGTGTCTGTGGCGGGAGGTTAAGGAACACCCCCCCCCACCTTCTCCCCCCACACAGTCGCACACGTCTTCATCTGTCTTTGTCCCACCGAGCACAATCACTCTGAACACAAATATTTTTCATCAAAGTCTGGCCACAGTGCAGGGGGATTATTTTTAGATGGCCCTGATAAATGAGGGGTTTCATATTGCTGGATGTGGTCAGCGAGGATGAAGAGTGAAAATTAAGGGGGAAAAGAGAGAAGAAGAAGACCAGAAAAATCTGGCAGAGCCACAAAAGCTTTTAAAACAACATGTGAAAAATCTGCAGTTCTTTCACAGTTAGCTTGTCATTTTTATTTGCCTCTTCAGACGGTGGCAGCGGTCGTCTTTCAGGCTGTGCCAGCTGGGATTGGCTGCTTGCTGGAACGCGCAGGCCTGGCCCCGGGTAGCACTCTTATTATCATCACCACACACTGTAATTCACATGTCAATCACAGCCCAGAACGGCACAGGGCCGAGGGGAGAGGGGCTGGTTAGAAGGGGCCGCCGGCTGGGGTGATGGGCGGTGCGGGGCAGCACGCTGAATACTTCCAGCAGGCCCTAATCGGACCTTTCATTCCCTCATCTCTGC